GAATATAAGTGGGCATCTTTTGAGCATTTTCTGCATATGTTTTACATTTCGTCCGAAAAACCCCTGTAAGCGGACACGCCCGACTCAACCCGTCTCCGAGTCTCCCTCCTTCTCCCCTTCCTCTTCCGCCCACGGTCTGTCAGCAGAGCAGCAGAGGCCCTGCGTCCTCTTGTGATTTGTTACCCTGTGCCCCATCAGTGTTGACCCATTCCCCCATTATCGTCCTCCTCCTCCTCCTCCTCTTCCTCCTCATTCCCCCATTATCGTTCTCATTCTCCCATTATCGTCCTCCCGCCCGTCCTCCTGCTCCTCCGCTTCCTCCTCCTTCCCCTCGACCCTCTTCCTCCTCACAGTGCTCCCCCCTTCTCATATTCCATCCATCTTGCGAGCGTGTTCTTAGTCGGCGTTTGGACACTGGGCGGAAAGGGAGGGGGAGGGGGGGGGGTCTGGCTCCAGACCTCGGCTCGATGCGACTGTTTGCAGCAGTGCGTACTTTGGGGGAGGCTCCACCTGCTCGAAACAGGCGCCCAAAACAGCCACGATCTACTCCAGTAGGCGGGGGGAGGGGGGAGGGTTGCGAGGGCCAGCGCCGATCGGCAAAACAATGAATAAGAAAACGACGACCTTCCACCAGACGTGTCGGTAGGGCGACCCAGGCGTTTCACGCGAGACTTCCTCTGCACTTGATCTTGAAGCGCCACAAGTCCAATAGTTACACCTGAAGGCGCGCAGTGTGGAAATGTATGATGTGGCCGTTGCGCAAAAGCTACTTGTCCTGACCACCTGCAGCACTTATGCGAATGGAGGCCAGCGGCTTGGGCGCCGCGCGAACACGTCTGCGAAACTCGTGACAGCTGCACGGCTACAACGGTGGAAGGAACCTCAAGATTGGACTCTCGCTCGAGACCTTCCCAGCATGTGAGATGGCGGGCCTAATTGAAGCTCATGCTCGTCTTGTCAAAGGGGCGCGCCACGTAGTGGGAAGGACTGCCTGCAATCCATGTGTGGAGAACTTGAACGGGAGGGTGGGGGTGCTTAAGAATCGGCATGTGTTTGCGATGGCCCCTCCTCCTCCTCCTCCTCCTCCCCCTCCTCCTACTCATCCTATTCATCCTGTTCCTCATCTCACTCTTCGCGGTCCACTTCCTCCATCTCGTTATCTCCATCTGTTCTCGTCTCTCCCTTCTCCACCTCCAAGATCCCGCATCCCCTCCCCTCCCCTCATATTCCTCTATCCGCATACGTTGGCAGATCAATCCCTGCGTGCTCACGCGAGCGTCATCCTCCAGAACAACTTGGGGCGTTCATATCATCTCCCTCCCTCTCCATCTCACTCCTACCCCCTCTCACTTCACCCATGCCCAAAGCATAGCTGTGCTGCCCACTTCAACGCAGATGCTGTGGACTAAGTCGGCGGAGTCGAGTATTACCAGAAGACGAAAACAAAACTACATGGACATAATTGTTTCCTGGGCATGCGCGTTGGATCTGCGCTGGACCACCTCCCTGGCGCCCGGAGCGCGCCAGGGGTAGCGCCAGAGGCGCCGCCAGGAGGCCCTAGCGCAGATCCAAGACACTCGCTCAGAGCTCTGGAAGTTCATGTTGATTCAATCTTTTTCTGTATCTCCGAGCGATTTACGACCTCAACCTTGAACCAATGGATAGGTCGCTCAGGATACCCGGCAAGACGCAGTGCCGGGTGTTGCTAGAAGTACCCCTGGCCAAAGGTGTCCCCAGCATTTCGCTCCATTTTGGAGCCCCTGGGGCCCTCTGGGCCTTGTGAGGGGCGCTTTGGAGGCCGCTTGGACCACCCACAGTGATCCAGGGGCACTTCTAGCAACACCCGACAGTGAGAACAGCGGGCGCTGGCCATCGCTCGGACGTCCATTTCCTGTGCTTTTTTCGGTTTCGTGCGTGGCTTTTTCACCAAATGATCAAGGATGCTCCTCGATGGTCCTCGCCGCAGGAAAAATGCACACGTCCGAGCGATGCCAGGGGCGAGAGCTCCAGCCCAGAGACGCGCGCCCTCGTCGCTCGCCGCCGCATCCGCCGTCGCAGCTGACTCGCCGCTCGCCGCCGTCGCCCGTCGCCGCCGTCGCTCGTCGCCGCCGTCCCTCGTCGCCGCCGTCGCTCGTCGCCGCCGTCGTCGCCGTCGTCGCTCGTCGCCGTCGTCGTCGCCGCCGCGGGCGGTGCGGGCGGTGCGGGCGGCGGCGGCCCCGCACAGCGCGCCGCGCAGCGTCGGCGCGTGCCGGCGGCGCGGGGCCCGTCGCCGCCCGCTGGGTCTCGCCGGGGTCCGGGGGGGGCGGGTCTCCGCGGCGGCGGGTCTCGGCGAGGGGGGCGTCACGGAAGGGTTGAGACGTGCATGTCATGTCCCTCCACAGGAGGGAAATTCAAAAATAGCTCCCCAACAAAAGTCCGGGGACGAGATTGTTTCAAGTCATTTTGACAAAGTTTGCATTTGTTTCCATATTTTCATCTTTCCACCAACATCCGCCTGTAGGAAGGAGGACGTGCCCGACCTAGTGCTAGGGGTCGGTCAGGCCGGCTCCGAGGAGCGGGTGGCTGTAGGGGAGCGGCCCGAGAGGTGCCCCAGGAGGTGCTGCCCCAGGCGGACGAGGGAGCCACTCGGCCGGGCTGAGCTCGGCCCCCGGGAACCTCGGCATCACGGCCTCGAAGAGCCTGCCGCAGGAGCCGCGGACCCACACCTTGACCCACACCGTCGAGGGCCTCCCCCGTGCAGCCGGAGCCGACACCGGGCGGGGTGTTCCAGCCGCACTGCTCGTCCTCGCTGCCCACGCGCTGCAGGCGGAGCACGCCGTGCTCTCCCCAGGTGCTGCCCCGGCCGAGGTCCGCAAGGGCTCCCAACTTCGCGCTTCGCGCTGCGCGAAGCGCGAAGTGCGAATAAGTTCGCGCTCTCGCGCCGCCTCCCAGGGGAGAAGAGGAGGATGAGGAGAAATCGGAGCCGAACCGCGAAGCGCGAATAACTTAGCGCCCTCGAGGGCGCCCTTGGGTCCGCCGGCCGAATTCCGCCTGGTCGAGTTCCGCCTGGCCGAGGTCAGCCTGGCAGAGTTTGTTCGGGCCGAGGCGTAGGTCGGGCATGTCCCCCTACAGGCGGATGTGGAACGAACAAGAAAGAATACCCCAAAAGAAGTCAAACATAGACAGGAACAGTCCAAGCATCGTCCCCACACTATTTTTTAACAATTGCGGAATCTCCCGTAAAAGGACAGGCCCGACTTAAGCCGAGGCCGAGGAGGGAGCCCTTCAAAGCTGCCACACTGCCTGGCGCCCAGAAGGTTGAGGGGGGCGCGCGACATCTCCTCAGTGCCCCTGTTGGCGCCCAAGCCACGGCGAGGGGCCATACTGGTGGCCTCCTCCTTCTCCTCCTCCTCTTCCTCCTCCTCCTTCTCCTCTTCCTCCTCCGCCTCCTCCTGCTTTTCCTCCTCGTCCTCCTTCTCCTCCTCCCTCTCCTCCTCCTTCTCCTCCTCCTCCTCCTCCTGGCGCGCCGTGTGCGGGGCAGCAGCAGAAGCATGGATCGAACCTCGATCGCCGTTGCTTCTGGACGCCCGACATGGGTACGGAAAGCACAAGTGCGAGGAGAGCACCAAATGGCGCCCAACTCGGGCGTTGGCAGAACTGGGTTGAGTGGGACCTGGTTTAGTGATGTGTACTGGGGTACGCCCCCCCCGCCCCGTTCCACTAACCAGAATTGCCGTCACCCGAAAAAACACCAACTACGGCAGACCTGGTTTAGTGATTATGACCTATTTAGGGGCTCCGGAGCCCTACCACTAACCGGGCCCCCTTACCTGGGGTCCTGTCTATACCCGGCCAACACCAAGAGCGGCCGCTGTCGAGCAACTGGTCGTGTGTCTCAAACTCGCGACATCTGCAGGGACACCGGCAGCGAGTCCTGTTCGACATGAGCAGCAGATGCCGTCGGTCTTCGTGCCCATTCTTCCCGTGCCCAGTTCGATCGGACCAAACAACGGCAAACATGTTCATGTCCCCCCCACGCTGATCGGACAGCAATGGAAAACATGTTCGTTTTCGGGGATCTACTGGCCCGGGTCAATCCACACCCGGGTCAGTTGGGCGTTGCATGATCCTGCAAGATCCTGCAAAATCCTGCACGCAAGCCTGGGTCAATGCAGCCCTGGCTCTGCAGGATCCTGCAAGATCTGGCGCTCTGACTGACCCCCGTTTGCATTGACCCCCGCCTCTTCAGCCCCGACGGTTCCCCCCCCACACCCCACACGACGCTCACGCCCGCTCGGTGAGGCGAGAGGCGCGCTCGGATGCAGCCCGCCGCTCCGCAGCGTTTCGCGCGGAGGCGGCAGCAGTAGAAGAAGACAAAACGCAATAAACACAAAGTCTTGGCGCTCCCCGCGGACGGATTTCTTGGATCAGCGCTGCACCCCTCCTGGGCGCGCGGAGCGCGCCAGGGGCGGCGCCGAAGGCGCCGCTGGGGGGGGGGCCCAGCACGGATCCAAGAAACTCGCGCGCAGCGCCAAAAGTTTCTGTTTATTGTGAATTGTCTTCTTCGGAGCAGGGGTCGTGGGCCCGCCGCGCCTCGCCGGTGCCCCGCGAGGATTGCCGAGCATCGAGGAGGATCGTGGGTCGAGGAGGATCGAGGGCCGAGGAGGATCGAGGGTCGAGGAGGATCGAGGGTCGAGGAGAATCGTGGCTCGAGGAGGATCGAGGATTCAGGCGGATCGCCGCTGGCGCCCGCCCGGTCGGGCGAGTGGCGCCTGCGGCTGCGGGCTGGGGGCCGCTCCTGATGGGCCGATTCTCCACCACCACCACCACCATCACAACCATAGGTAAGACGAGGTGGAGGAGGAGGAGGAGGAAGAGGACGAGGAGGAGGAGGAGGAGGAGGAGAAGGAGGACCTCCCCATCCTCCCTTCTCCCCAGTCCTACCTATGGTAGTGGTGGTGGAAAATGGGCCCATCAGCTCCGCTCGCGCAGGCGGCCAGCCCGAGCGCCGATCGGCCGCCCTACGCAGAGGTCTGGAAGGTGCCCTCGGCCCACGCACCGGCTCCCAGGGCGTTGTGCGCCCGCAGCCTCTCGGGTTCGGGCGAAGGGGCCGGTGGCGGGAGGGAGTGAGGGAGAAGGAGGGAGGGGAAAAGAGGAGGGGGAAGGAGGAGGGGGAAGGAGGAGGAGGACCAGTGTAAACTCAAGAGTCATCAACGATGTTGGAGTTAACCCGTTAACCCTCCCTCCAAGCTCCCTCTTCATAGGCCCTTAATGGAACTGCCTCGTTGGAAGACACCCGTTGAAAGACCCTGAAGCATGCCAAAACATTTTCTCGGGATTCTAACGCGACGGATCAACCGGACTGTTGCGTCTTGACGATCCGGAATCGTGCCAGAACGCCATTCCTAGGACTTCAACACAGAGAACCCACGTAACTACTGCACCAACATAAGCCTGAGTCCTTCCAAAGCACCATTTCGGGTACGTTGATGATGGGAATCCGTTAAACTCTTGGAAATATGTGAAGCAAATGTGCGCGGCGCTGAAGGGAGAACCACATTTCGAAAAGGTACCGCCCTAAATCCGTGAAGCCCTCGCAATATTGTACAACGAATGTGCGCCGCGATAAGGCGAGAGCCACATTATGCAAAACACCCGCCCTCCATCTTTGAAACTGTTGTCAGTTTTTAAGCTTCAGAAACATACATGGTGAGGAGGTCTCAGGCGAAACGCCCCGCCCGCCCTAAAGACTGGCCAGTGCGACAGGAAGAAGTTATCGATACGGAACAGGAATGGGAGAGGAGGGGGAGGAAAAGGAAGAGTAGGAGGAGGAGGAGGAGGAGGAGGAGGAGGAGGAGGAGGAGGTGCAGGAGGACCTCCTGGAGGAGGAGGAGGAGGAGGAGGAGGAGGAGGAGGAGGAGGAGGAGGAGGAGAGGAGAGGAGAGGAGGAGTAGAGGGGTGGGGGAGGGAGGGAGGGCGCGGGAAGCTTTGAGGGTTCCGGCGCGACTGTAGCCCATAGAGTTGAATGCCTGGTAGCGTGATGGTGAGCTGTTAGAACCAGAGAAACGCCTCAACCATAAACTTGTGGCGCTCCGTGCGGATTTCTTAGATCTGCGCTGGACAGCCCTCCCTGGCGCGCGAAGCGCGCCAGGGGCGGCGCCTGAGGTGCCGAGAGCCAAAAGTGTATGTTTATGGCGTCTTTTCTTCTTCGAGCTGTCCCGAAACTTTGCTGGGTTGTCGTCTTCCCCCTACTTCCCTTATTTTCCTATATGTTCCGGGGGATCCACGATGACTTGTGTCTGCGTGTCTCTTTCCCTCCTGAAGACTGTGCAGAACGTGTGCTTGGCGGTGGGGGGAGGGGTGAAGGCTTCCTGGGAAGGAGGCTGCTTCTTAGGAGGCGCGGGCCTCACACCTACAGACCAGGCCAACGCCTTCTCAGAGAAGCAGCCTCCTTCTATAAGAAGCCTTTCCCCCCCCCGCCCTACCCCCTCCGCGCGTGGCTGATGTCCCCTCGGCCCCGCGATGCCCCGCGGCTGCTGCCGCCTCCCCCTGCTGCGGCTGCTGCTGCTGCTGCTGCTGCTGCTGCTGCTCTTGCTGCTGCTGCTGCTGCTGCTGCTGCTGCTGCTGCCACTCCCGCTCCGCCTCGTCCTCCCGCTGGTTGTTCTCGGGTATGCTGCGAGGCGCACGAGCCGCCTGAAGCGCCAGAGTCCTTCTGCACGCCTGCTCCTGCTCCTGTTCCTCCTCCTCCTCCTCCTTCTCCTGCTCGGGCTCCCGCTCCTGCTCGGGCTCCCGCTCCTGCTCGGGCTCCCGCTCCTGCTCCCGCTCCTGCTCCCGCTCCTGCTCCCGCTCCTGCTCCCGCTCCTGCTCCCGCTCCTGCTCCTCCTGCTCCTGCTCCTGCTCCTGCTCCTGCTCCTGCTCTTCCTCCTCCTCCTCCTCCTCCTCCTCCTCCTTCTCTTCCTGCAGACACCGAAGAAGTCAAACGCTGCCGACACACCGACACCCATCCCCCTTTGATCGGCACGGAAGCCGAGACGAAGGCGTACGCCAACACGACGATCCGGCCTCCTCCTCCTCCTCCCCTCCCCAGCCCGCATGCCATGCCGTGCCAGGGGCCCCGCGGGCCTGAACTGGTACTTGGTGCCAGCCTGCAGGCTGCCCACCGTGGCGTACCAGCCGCCGCCGCCGCCGCCGGGCGCCTCGGCGGGCACCCGCTGCGGGGCGTCCTCGGCGCCCGCAAACGCCACCGCCTGCCAGTACAGCGACCTCCACACCTGCCACGGGCTGTAAACTTTTGTTGCAGTTCTGGCCGCAGTGCGCGTCAGCGGATACGAATCCGCCGATAGAGGTCAAAAAATCAACCCCCATAATAACCACCCCGACACGCGAAGTCGTTCATCAAAAGCGCCCAAAGAAAGAATCGAACAGGGCAGATGTTGTAAATGCGCCCAGGGCCGCGTTGTAAACGCCAATTGTCCGGTCCGGTTGGTGTTTCCTCCCTTGATTTGAGGCGTGCCAGAATGTCAAGTGCAGCCTGGTAGTCTCACAGAGCTGCACGCATCGGCCCCCTCCCCGTGGCCAAATCCCCTTCGGAAGCGACAGCAGCTTCGAGATCCCCAGGCCAGGATGTCTTCCACTTCTGGTGCAGCGCTGGCCGCAAGGAGAGACACGGGATACCACGGGGCGAGCTGAACAAGGTGCTCCTTGTTCGTCATTGCTGCAGAACGAAAACAAAACTAAAACGGTCCACGAACTCACCAAACACCATTCGGCTCGCGCCCTGCTCGATACGAATCTCCAGACTTTGGAATGGTCCTATTGTTTTTGTTTGGGCGCTTCGGATGGCGTGCCCACTGCCTCACGTTCTAACGCGTAAGCCGCCGCACCTGTGACACAGCCCTGAGTCGCACTGCAAACATTCGCTGCACTACCACCCTCGCGGAGGCCAGCCAGCGGACATAAGACGAAGGCGGCTCCGCCAGCGGAAGATCTCCAAAGGGCACCCACCAAGAGAGGTTGTTCAACGCCAGCGTGCCCCGACATCACGCCGCTTAGCACTGCTACAGACACGCTCCTCCCGCCGACCTCTCGACCGTGCGGCTTTCATTCTCAGTCGTTGTCGATGGTGCCCGAAACCAGAACGTAGAGCCATCAGGAGGGCAACCCCAACATCAGCACTGCCTGTCGTAATTTTACGAGCGCCCAGCGCCCAATTCCTCAGCGCCGAATTCCTCGAACTCCCTGCTTCTCTGGAGCGTGGGCCCCCAGATGTTCCGACCCCTTTTCCCGGGGCAGGCTTCTCTTCCAGACTCGTTCTTTCCTACGGGGTCCGCGCAGATGGCGGGGTCCGAGTTGATGGGGTCGGAGGATCGCGCCGCATCGCCGACAAATCGGCGATGCATCGCCGATGCATCGGCGACGCATAGGCCGCATAGGCGACGTCGGCGATGCATCAGCGCCGTCGGCGTGAAGACAATTGGGCTCCGCATCGAGCCGCATCGGCGATGCGGCGCGCTCCTCCGGCCCACTCGACTCGGACCCCTTCTAGGAGGCATGGCTTGACGGTGCCTGGACCCGGCCTGGGGAAGAACCCCCAAAGGCCGAACGTGGCCGACAACCGACAACCTTCCGTCACGACGACGAAGACGAAGACGACGCCGAAGACGACGACGACAACGACGACGAGCCACCTCGAGCTCGCAGCGCTCCACGGCGGCGCCCTCTGGGTCGCGCACGGCCCAGGACAACCTCGGGGACGCACGAAACTCGGGCTGGCCCAGACCCGGGTCGGTCAGGGCCTTGTTGCGCAGCCCACGTGGCCCACCCGAACCCCGATCAGTGGAGGGTGGAAGATGGGAAGAATCTAGACGAGGAAGAAACGCCATAAACATAAACTGTTTCTGGCGCTCCGCGTGGATTTCCTCTGTTCGCGCTGGACCCCCTCCATGGCGCTCGGAACGCGCCAGGGGCAGAGCCGGAGGCGCCGCCGGGGGGAGGTGCCCAGCGAGGACCCAAGAAATCCGCGCGGAGCGCTAACAGCTTTTGTTTATGGCGTGTTTTCTTCTTCGAGAATCGGCCCCACACGGCTCCCAAACACGGGTCAGCCAGGGGGGAGTGACCAACCCTCGTTGGCATGAAGTTGGGCACGTCCCTCTGCAGGAGAAACGTTCACAAATAGCCGAACAACAATTTGGGGACGATTTGTTTGACTACTTTGGCATTTGTTGCTCATGTTTCATTCTTCCTTCAAAATCCGCCTGTAGAGGGACATGCCCGACCTACAGTCGGCCCAAATCAATAGGTCGACCCTGCCAAATCAAGGGTACCCTTGTGTCCTGTGTCTCGCGACCCATGCTTCCTACATTCCTGTGGAAATGTGGCCCTCGGAAGGGTCGTGTGTCCTCTCGCGTGTCCTGTCCAATCGAGCCCGACTGTAACGCTAGCACCGACCCCCGTGACGCGAGCCCTGGCAGCCGCAGAGACCGCACCGCCCCGGAGGCGCCGCGGTGGGCGCACGTCCAGTCCGTGGGCAGGCCGGGCACGCCGGACGTCGTGATCTCCTCTGGGCAGTCCTCCTTCTCCTCCTCCTCCTCCTCCTCCTCCTCCTCCTCCTCCTCCTCCTCCTCCTCCTCCTCCTCATCCTCCCCCTCCTCTCTTACTCCTTCCCCTCTCCCCTACTCCTCCCCCCTCCCCCTTCCTCCTCCCCCTCCCCCTCCTCCTCCTCCTCCTCCTCCTCCTCCTCCTCCTCCTCCTCCTCCTCCTCCTCCTCCTCCTCCTCCCCCTCCTGCTCCCCCTCCTCTTCTTTCCCTGCTTACAATATTCTTCCTACATTGTCAGCATTATTCTGCTTAGTGGTATTACTGTTCTTTGATTAAGTGTGATTGTTCGTCTTGTCCTGATTGTTAGTTTAGTTTCAGGCTTCATATTTGTAGTGATATTAATACCACACTTCTTAGTATTATTCGTTTTCGTATTCTTCTTATTCCTCTTCCTGCTCCTCCTCCTCCTCCCCCTCCTAATCCTCCTCCTCCTACTCCTCCCTCTCCTCCTCCAAGTCATCGTCCGCGTCCTCGTCCCTCTTTCTCTCCCTCCTCCTCCTCCCTCCTCTCTCCTCTACCTTCCTCCTTCCTCGTCCTTCTCTCTCCTCCTCCTCCTCCTCCTCCTCCTCCTCCTCCTCCTCCTTCCTCTTCCTCCTCCTCGTCGTTCTCCTCCTCCCTCGTATCTCCTCCTCCTCCCCCCCTCCTCTCCTACTCCGTCCCTCCCCCTACTCTTCCCCTCCCCCTCCTCCGCTCCCTCCCCTCCTCTCCTCCTCCTCCTCCTCCTCCTCCTCCTCCTCCTCCCCATCCTCTTCTTCCTCTGCTTCACAATGTTCTTCTCGGTATAATCAATATTGTTCTGCTTAGTGGTATTACGTTTCTTCGAAAGAGTAGTAGTGATCGTCTTATCATGATTATTATTAGTTCAGGCCTCATATTCGTAGAACTATTCGTATGAATCTTCTTATAATATTCGTTTTCGTCCTCTTCCTCTTCTTCTTCCTCCTCCTCCTCCTCCTCTTCCTCCTCCTCCTCCTCCTCCTCCCCCTCCTTCTCCAGCTCCTCCTCCTCCTCCTCATCCTCCTCCTCCAGGTCCTCGTCCGCGTCTTCGTCCTCCTCCTCTCCTTCATCCTCCTCCTCATCCTCCTCCTCCTCCAAGTCCTCGTCCTCGTCCTCCTTCTATCCTCTCCCTACTCCGTGTCCTCCTCCTCCTCCTGATCCCCCTATCCCCTCCCCTCCTCGTCCTCCTCTTCTTCGTCGTCGTACCATTCGTCCTTTTTTGATTCGTGTTATAAAAATTATTACTATTATGAGTATCCTCATTCTTCTTAGTACTAGTATTATTGGATTGCGTGTTGTTATTAGTGGTATCATTGTGAGAACTAGTGCTACTGTGCTTCGTAATGTTAATAGCATCCCTATTGTCATCCGCATTCGCAATCGTATCCCTAGTCGAGGAATTACTGCCAGTGTGATTCGAATTATGGTTCGTCGTCGTCTTCCTCCTCCCTCTCCGTCTCCTCCTCCTTCTCCTCCTCCTCCTCCTCCTCCTCCTCCTCCTCCTCCCCCTCCTCCCCCTCCTCCTCCTCCTCCTCGTCCTGGTAACCCTTCGCCGCCTC